AATGGTAATAAAAAGTGGAAAAGAATTCATTTCCAACCAAGGTGCACATTTACCACCAAATTTCTGTGCCAGACAACAATGCACAATGGAGAGAGAGTAACACTGCCATTCTTCACAGTGTCTCTCTCTCTCTCTGTCTCTCTCTCTCTGTCTCTCTCTCTCTCTCTCTGTCTCAGGCATGAGTTTGCTTAGCGACCATTTCATTTCTGATTTATCGAAAGGATTGCAGCGCTAAGCGAAGAAAAGGTGTACTGGTGTTCATTATGCCCAGACAATTGAACCATATTACGGCTGAACTTGATGACTTTCTTCATCCGGGTTGCACGACAAAGATGAGGTTCATACCACATGCTCAGTCACAAACTATCCAACCCCATATGCTAATAATAATAATAATAATAATAATAATAATTTAAAGTTATAAACTATCCAACTCCCAGTGACTCTGAGCAGTTATGGTAACCTAGAGTTCCCAAGCTGGTGCTCTTAAAAATCCAGCCTTCCCCAAACTGCCACATTTTAATGTACTACATGGTGAGGATGATGAGAACATCTGGAAGGCACATCTTGGGGAACACTGCATTAGATCAGTATCAGAGATGAAAGATTTGACCCCGCAAAAGTTGCTGCAGCAAAGTCCTTATTGATAAACAGCCCTGATTATCTCTAGGTCATCCAAAACAGGTTTATATTCTATGACAAAGGCCAAGGTGGCCTTTATTTATTTATTTTTCCTTATCAGGCAATACTCACTAAAACAGAGCACCTGGAAACCCTACCGTCCTCCTCTGCCTTGCTAATCCTCTAGATCCACTCCAGAATCATCTGCTGCAAAATTTTCTCCTTTGGGAAACTCTCTGATCGCCATAGATGAACAGAATCCCCCATAATCCCCTTAACAGAATCCCAGTGTTTTATGTTGTGAGACTATTATTCTAATCGCCTTGTTTCCACGGGGGCTCTTGAGACCAAAACTGAAACACACTATGACCCCTGCTACTACAGCTGGCAAGAAACACATTTCACAGTAATTTTAGTAATTTAGTAATTTAGAATTACTAAATTCACAAAATTTAGTAATTTTGATGGCTTTCTGCAGCTGCCCTCATATTCTTCCCCCCATCCTTTCCCCCCTTGTTCAGTCTTTGGTGTCTGGATCCCTTCTGTTGCGCATCAGCATCCTGGAGGCTGAACTGCCTGGGGTGCAGGGGCCACTGCCTCTCCAGATCGACCCCCTCCAGAGGCTCTTCCACCTTCACCTTCATGCAGAAAT